ATTGTTTTTTTATTGTTACTCTTTTTTTCAAATATGGCAAATTGTTGGGGTGATCCAGAACACTTCTCGCAAAAGACAAGAAAGGATCAGGAAACACTATGTAGCATTTTATTCAATCAGCGTCCAATTGAAGTTTAGCCAGAAACATCAGGAAAGTGAAAAGTCACAGGTAGAGTTTCTCATTGGCTGATTACTATACTGCTGTTATCTTTAGTAGCATTCTAAAATCTTCAGGAAACCCAAGGACATCAAAAATACTATAAAAACCTTATACTTTCTGTACTAAAACGAACTTTTGGAGTAAAGCGCCTCTCGCATATTTCGTGACTTTCCTCTCCTGTTCAGGTCTCTGTATAGTTCTAGCTTGAAGCTTACTAGAATTGCTTAGGAACCGAGTATAGCCTTCAATTGGCAATACTCATCAGTGGCGATGGGAATGCTACCAGGAATATTTCTTCGGAGCAACTAGAAGCTTGTATGGAGCGTCAAGAGAAGAGGTTTGAACAGTCTCAAATCAGAATCATGGAAGCACTGATGCAGAAATGGTGCCTGTCCCCAGCAAAACCCTGCCTCTGGTGAATCAAAAGTCTCTCATACTGATTCAGTCAATAATAACATCCATGGATTAAATTTTGATGGTGTAGCAGGTATAACTTTTGATTCTTGATCTTTGCAAACTTGATGACGCCTCAAAAGTAAGAATGCTTCTAAGAAAACTTGGGACTCTGAAGCATGATACCTCGATGGTAGAGAACAGTAACCGATTCCTTCACGTCAATGCAGTCAAGAGAAAAGTCTCACAAGGTTTCAGCGCGCAGAATTATCGTAATGGCAGCGACACACCATCATCCTCATGCTGGTTATGTGGCGGATGGCACTTCAAAAGGTTTTTCCGTTTAAAAATCATCGCTGTACTGTGCGTTCTAGAAAAGAGCGAAACCCGAAAACGCCGTCAACAGAAAGTGTATTCTAAGAGATTCAAGCCGCAAACAGCTAAAGTAACGGTAGCTCTTCCCAAAGCTGACTTCCGCAACCGTAGAAAGTATATTTCTTTGAAGATTAATGGGTATGATGCCCGAATGTTAATATATATATATATATAAATTTTGAGTAACTAGATTATATATATTTACGTTTCTCAGATTATAATCTTTCATTCATCCTGCTGGCTACTAATACACGATCTACTATTCTCAATTTATCACCAGTATATTGGTTACAGTATATCACATTCACAATGACTCTCGGCTTGACCTTGCATAATTGCTAATTTCTGTTGTATGGTAAGATGCGGTCTGATTTGGTTGTATATAAACTGCGTATGTCTGAAATACATGATTCATACGGCGGAATCTGAGATTGTGTTCCGGGATCTCACAAAAAGGGCTAGGCAGGAAGGCTCTAAGCTGACACAGGGCTGCTCATAATGGTAAAATTGTTTGGCACAATGCTGACGTCATAAAAGTCGGCGATCTGATTGGCGATCTAATCACGTAATAATAAACAGGACAAGAGGCATAACAAGATGTTTAGAAATAAATCATAGAGAACACCAACGCAGTCACACTTGATTAAGGGACTCTGGAACAGGTGGAGACTTCACGTGGTCGGCATCATCGACGAACAAGGTGGATCCGATGAATATAGATTAACATTACAGTAGGTGTTGTTTGCTAATCTTGGAGTATATTGAGCCGAAACTCCATGGGGGGCTTGATAATTGTGTGCATAATGTAACTAGCCCAAAGGTTGGCTTTGATCTGATGACTGAATGAAAATGGGATGAAGTAAAGTCATTCCTAGCTATTTCTGAATGGTAGAATTGTTTAGATCTGAGCACAAACCTAGAGTGTCAGTCCTTTGAGCATATCTAAATCTGTTGCCCTTAGTTTATGAAGTAAGGTTAGAAATGGATGGAAGATAACAGATATGAATAATAGAGAAAACTTATGTTGCCCAATGATCGAAGCAGTTATTCATTACAGACACAAGTAAATATTGTTGCTCTCTATTTTTACGTTCAGGGATGATTTGTATATTCTTGTGAATTTATTATTTATGGTCGAAAATTATACATGAAAAAGGGAAAGAAGACGACGAAAGGTGTCAGACTTCGGCATGTGCTTGTCAAACAAAAAACACGAAAATAATCAGTCTGCAATTGAGCGAAACGCTACGGCGCTTAACGATGGCAAATGTCACAGAAATGACTTAGTTACCTGAAAAAGCCGAATTCCATGGAACATCTTAGCCGAACCAATATGTACTTAAATTTCGATTTGAACATTCTCAGTTTTTCCTGGTGTTCACATAAAAATCTGCCAAAGACTAGTGCGTTAGCGACAGAAATGGAGCTTCTAAATG